ACTAAATAGCACTAATGCGTATTCTAAATATGCCCGGGAAAAGTTACCTTTCTAGCATTTAATTCTAACAAAGCTTTTTTACTAACGGTATTGTTAAACATTATACTGTGTGGACCTGTGACGAAGTTTGTAGAGCACTCTTTTTTCTTTTAGACAACATTTAGGTCAGGTTTGGTAATACCCTAGTTAAACAGATCATAGAAATTCCTATGGGTACTAACTGTAAACCCCTGGTCGCCGGTTTGTTTTTGTACTGCTATGAAAGAGACTTTATGTTGAGTCTCTCTCAACAACAGGATGTTATAGTCGCATTTAATAATACTTCCAGATACCGTGATGATATTTCTAATTTATATAATTCTTATTTTGTTCAAATGGTGTCTGACATTTATCGCAATGAAATACAACTTAATAAAACGAACTCTTGAAAGTTTAGTACATCATTTTTGGATGTTCATATAACTATCAACAACAATTCTATTCACACGAAACTCTATGATAAAAGAGATTACTTTGACTTTTGTATAGTTAATTATCCTCATTTTGATGGAGACGTACCCCATGCAACATCTGTTTCTCAGTTAATAAGATTCGCTAGAGCGTGTAGCAACGAAAAGGATTTCAACGAGCGGCATATTTTCATTACCAAAAAGCTTCTTAAACAGGGCTACCGCTATCATTAATAACGGAAATATTTTACAAAATTTTACAATCGTAATTTTGATTTAATTTCAAAATTCAATAGTGATTTAAAAACTCCCTGTGACAAGGGATTAGCCAGCCTGGTTTTTATGGCGATGTGTTTTACAACCATCGTAAGATTTTGGGTCATGGTAATTTTTCTGCTGTTTTTACTAAAATCATAAAACTTTTTATTCAAAGAGGTTATGACTCTCCTTTTTTAAGACATACTGCATGCTAAGTGTTCAACCCTTTTACAATTGGACTCTACAGTTTCCTCTTTTGATTATATCTGACAGACCAAGTGGGAGACTCGTTGATGTATAGTTCTTAAAGATGCCTTAATGTTCGTCTTCTGCCTTGCTTCGTGGGGCCCTTGTAGGTGATTTTCTTGTTGCTCTGTCTTTCTTTAGGACATTGAGTACTATTGTTATGGTCATTGGGTTTACTTTTATATATTTCTACATGATCATTTTGGTGTTTTACTTATTTAATCTTTTGTAAACCATGACAACTGCTAGAATTTCACTTGGCGGGGATTCATTTTATATACCCTGTCTCGTTTATAGGAACATGGTGGGGCTAAGAGTGAGGTTGGTGCACCATTAACCGGTTTAAACTCCCCAGTAGTACTTGTGCTGCCGACCGTTCCAAGGCGGCGCCCCTCTTTTTTCCTCAGATGTATGTCTATGTAGTTTTTTACTATTTTGGTGACACTTTTGCTTGTGTCCCTTGTTGTTTTCTTTAAAATACCCCCGTTACCCGGGTTTCCTGTCCCCTTCCAATGTGCCCTTTAACTTTGTGGGCCTATTTTTCAATCACTTATTTGTTTCTTTGAATTCATTGTCATTTACAAATCATTCAATCATTTAATTCTTTTCTTTGAACTCCTTACAAGTTACAAGTTATTTATCATTTTAGTGACTGGCCTATCCGTGTTCTGCCTTGTGTCCTGTCCCGCTTTTGATTGGGGTCCGTCTTGGCTTCTTGCCACAGATTCTTCTTGCTGGTTCGTTTGGGGGTTGCGTTCATTTAACGCCGCATTTTCCTGTTCATCTTGTTTATCATATATATCATGCCTTCTTGACGCCCTGATATAGTTTTCAAAACGCTTCTAATTAGCCAATTGCCTAAGTCATCTTTTAATTCTGTTACTTATGGCAATTGATGGTGTTACAATTAATTATTGTTTTTAGGAAGTCAAGGTAATATATTGTTTACATTTTGTTACTTTCATGAAAAACAATTTTATATTCAGCGCGTCATCTTCCGGTGATAGGAACATAATAAGCTCTAAAGCTATTAAATCGTTACACCCAACTAGCCAAAACAAGATATTTATACTTCAAAACTTGCTGACATATTATTGTTATATCAAACTAACTGACAGAAGCTATACTAGTGTTTTATCCCACTTGTCGACATAAGCTAAACATAATGTTACAACCAATTTCTTGACGTGAGTACTTCATAGTACCTTTTTATTCATCTTGCCGACACAAGCTATATATATCGCTACATCCAATTTGCAAACACAAGTTTTACATACTGATATATCTGACTTGCTGACAGAAAAGCTGTAGAATGGTGACTCTATTGCATTAATCATTTTTTGCTATTGAAGTGAGTGATTTTAGATTTCAAATCTTTTTTTTCCAATTAGAAGAAAGGAATTTTTGTTTATATTTTATTGATATGGTCACGTGCATATTATTTGGTGCAGAAATGTTGAGCATTTGAATTCATTTTTTGATACTAATTCAGAAATATATAATTATGCATCCAGTAAAGTATTTGTTGCACCTGTTCACACGGCCAGACAAACAGCTGGACATACAATTAAAAAGTATAAGGACCCTTTGGTGGCACAACAAATCGGAAATGTTGTTAAATAAAAAGTCAACAAAATAATGTTTACAGTTTCAGTAGCAAAGAACTGCTCAAAATAATGTTGATTATTGATAAGCCCTTTTTACAAGGTGGTTTTAATCATCTCTGATATCAAGCTCATTTCATAATTATCACTGGGTAAAGTCTAGCAAAGTAGTTTGATACTCTGAAATATGACCATAAATAATGTCCATAAATGGTGTCCATAAATGATGTCCATAAATGATGTCAAATATGTATTCTACAGATTTCAGTTGACCGGAACACGCTTGTCATAATCATCAAGTAGAATTAAATCAACACTGATAGCTCTAGCAAACCAATTTTCTATATATTTAATATTTTCGTGTTTATACGACAGAAATTGAATTACTTGTTCAAACGGATAATATGATTGGTATATTCTCGTCAGCAAATTCCTTATCTAAACTTAAGGATCAAATAATAATGTTACTGTAGGTGCATTCTTTATTGAATCGATTACGTATACAACATGATTACAAGTAAAATATAAACCTTGATTGGAGTAAAATGCAAATTCTCGCTTTTTTAAGTACAGATGGGATTTTGTAAACAAGTGCCTCCTCATAAAATGCACATCCATCAAAATTTGGACGTTGACCAAAAGTAAAACATTCCAAATGTTGGTGCTGAGTCTATTTCGTACATATTTATTGCCAAGTTTCCAGACGAAATTCTCTCTAGAACCATAGTACACTTTTTACGCTAACAACATTATATACTAGTAGCTGTTTCGGATGTGCAAAGTAAAATGTAAGGTGTCTGGTAATTTGCCTTGTATTTTGATATAGAACGCATTACAGCTCTCTCTGACATGTGTCTAATTCTAGTTGCATCACCGCCAAACTTTTATTCTTCACCTGGTCCTTGTGATATCTTATATATTCAATGTTGCATTACGCATACTCATGTGAAAATAAGTAAATTGTATAAAATGTCAAACTTGTACGACATTTGAACTTTCTGTGATTGATGTACGTTGGTAAGTCATTATAATGACTAGTGATGAACGTGTTTGTTAAAGGGAGACACAGGCAAAATTTTCATATTTTAGTTTTGAATTTGTCATTCATTATTTTGTAAATGCCCTCAAAATGAATATATTAAACAGTCAAAGGTACAATACTTTTCTCCATATAAAGAATAAAATGGTGGTTTTCTAACTTGACCCGCGTGGGTCAGGTTAGAGCGCTAGCATTTCACAATAGTTGTCAAAGTGGACTCTGGAAACGTTAAAGAACATGTCAAATGAATGACTTAGGCTTGTTTCAATCATACAATATCCACAATATTATAACTTCCAGGGTTTGTTCAAGTCACCTGACTTGTTTAAAAACTATTTGGTGATTCTATTGGCGTCTAAATTTTGTTCAACATTAATAGATATATTTACGCTTCAAACCAAAAATATATAGAATTTAAACAGAAATTCAAGCTTAAACCTCAAGAAAAGTCAAAAGTACATAGGATCATTTTAATATTTTTGTCATTTTTTTGCCTGAATATCCCTTTAAACACAAATGCCCCCGGCTCAGATTCTTGTCAGTAACAATATTTAAAATAAAGGCTGTATGGGCAAAAGTGTAAAAAATCAATTTAAGCACTGGTGACCTTGACCCAACTGACCCCTACTTCCAAAGGAAGAATATATTGCAACTTATTTTCCAACCAAATATGAAATAAATCTGTCAATATATTAAGGCTGTATTGGCAAAAGTGTAAAATTCTATTTTTAGCACTGTCGACCTTGACCCCTAATTCCATCCAAAGGAAGAATACCATGTAAGTTATCTTCCTACCAATTATAATACAAATCTGTAAATAAATAAAGGCTGTATGAGCAAAAGTGTAAAAATCTATTTTTAGCAATGGTGACCTTGACCCAACTAACCTTACCTCCATCCAAATGACAATACCTCAATTTTATGTTCCTACAAAATATACAAGACATCTGTCGATAGAATAAGGTTAATACACCTGTAAAAGTGTAAACAATCTAAAAATCTATTTTTGACATTAGTGACATTGACCCAAATGACCTCTTACTAAAAGAAAAGGAAGAGGACCTCCCTTGGTATGACTGTTATAAACATGAAAGACATTAAATTAAAAATAAAGGCTGTATATGCAGAAATGTTTCTATTTATTGTTTTACACAAGTGACCTTGACCTTGACATAGAGACGCCTAACGCTTTAAAAAATTAAAGGACCGTTAAAGGTATCCACCTATCAAATATGAAAGATATCATTAAATAAATTAAGGAATTAGGTGGAATTTTTTGATAAATCCAACTTGGCGGAATAGGTTAACCATACAAGGCCCTATTTTCAAAGTGATAAAAAGGGAAATTACTGGGAAAATAGATGACACATTTATATAACTTGGAAATATCATGTACATTGTATTGATAAGTAAGTGTGAAAATTATTAAGCAATTAGTTCAGATAGAACATAAGATATTTTCAACTTGCCGGTTTAGGTTAACCATTATTCATTTTCTAGGTGCTGAAAAGGGCCATAACTTTGTGCAAATGGAAGCCATAGTTATGTAACTTGCCCAAATCATATACTTTGTATGGATTAGTAAGTGTGTAAATTATGAAGCCAATGGTACAGGTAGAAATTTACCTTGAACACAGTGCCCCAAAACTCCACCCAAACGTGAAGAAAAACCTAAGGTATGTTTCTTGTAAAGACATTGAAAAAAATATACAAAGGCTGTATAAAAATTGTAAGAAATCTACTGTTAGAATCAATTTCATTAATCTTGTAATTCCCAACACCGGACCATCCAAGATATGTTCCTTCCAAATATAGTAAACTTCATTCAATAAATAAAGACTGTAAAAGCCTCTGTGTCAGAAACCATTTTGGCACTTTTGAACTTCATCCACTGACTTCTTACTTGATCCAAAGGAAGAAGACCGTGCAAGATATTTTCCTACCAAATATGAAAGGCATCTGTCCATAAATGAAGGCTATATGAGCAAATGTGTAAAATTCAATTTTTAGCACTCGTACCCTTGACCCAACTGACTTAAAACTTATTCCAAATGAAGAAGACCACGCAAAGTATCATCCTACCAAATAAATATATATATAATAATTAATTATATATTAAATATATATTAGAACTATCGTTATTTTATATTTCCATGTGCATAAAATATATACAAAACCTTATACTCATAATGAAAATATGAAGCGTGTTCTTCAAAATGTTTTCAGCTTTATGATGTTTCTTCTAAGAACGATAAGCATGATATTAGCATGTATGTTAATGTTGAGCTTGTTATATTATTCATAATGGTGATAAAATTATGGTTGTTTTTTTACCTTTTTTCTTCTTTTGATATGTTTCCTCGGAGATCTCAGCATCGGCATCGTTACCTCTGGCTGAAAACATATTATGATAAACATAATGCATGACGATAAAAGTGTGAAAATAAACATATGATTATTATCATTAATGTCATAAAAATAATAAGAAGAATTATTTGAATAAGGAAAGTGTAGGTTGTAAAACGTACATTTTGTTGCTTTAATTAGCTTAGGTTTGTAAGAACATATGTAGGCTTAGATAACTGAAGTATTGCCTTACATTTTTCTGCAGCTTTTTGTATCTCCTTTATTGCATTTTCCTTTTTCTTTGTTGACGTTTTGAACTCCATCATTGGCAACACTTTCAAGGGTTTCTTTTCCTTTTCTTGCCAAGTTTTCTATCTCCTTAATCGATTGTTTTACCTTAGCATCAAAAGCATCAATGGACGAGTTTTATCGCATCATTCAGCTTGGCAAGTGAAACATTTCCCTTATCTTCAATATCTTTTACTTTTAAGTTAATTATGTCAATAAGCTCTAATTTTCTTTTTTCAGTCTCCTGTTTGTATTCATCCATCTCATTTCTTATTTGTTCCTGAATCGTTTTTCCCACATCTTCCAAAACTTTACGTACAACGTCTTTTCCAATGATCAAATCGTCACTTTGAAGCTGAAATTATGGAGAAAGGATTGAGTGCATCGAACTATTTATTATCAATTTTTACAGAATACCGTGTCATTTACATATATAGTGCCTCATTTCATACATTTTCATGCAATTAAGTTAATATTGATCTTTTTTATTTTATAGATTTTTTTCCAAATTTTTTAAATACGGATTTCCCTAGCCTTTCTTAATGTGGAACAATTTGAAACATTTATTATGAAATAATTTAGGAATGTAAGCATTGGCACATAGCATTTCAAAACGATATTAATACGAGTATTTATTAATAAATTTCTTTGTCAGATTTTCATTTTGAGAGGATTATTCTTAAAAACAGTCAACAAACTATTTCAAATGTGTTTTAGAGAATCAGTTTCTTGGGAACTAGGAAATAATGCCAGAATAACAAAGTTACATTTGACATACTGATAGAAACAAAAATGATTACCTTTGCCAATTTTTGAATTGCATTGTTTGGTGATTTATTCAATGCTATGAATCCAGGATCCGTCAACATATTGTTTAAAATGGTAAAATACTGTGTTAGATCTGTATCCTCGACCTCCAGATTAGGAGAATGTCTGACAGCTTTACCAACATCTCTACCCTAAATTGAAATATGTCAGTACAGTTTGAACAAGTGATTAGCTCAGATATGATATTTCTTTGACCAATATATGTTTACGATAAATCTCAACAAATTTCGTTATGACAGTTGTAGAGCACGTCTTTACAGTACAAGATGGACAGACTGTGACTTGAAACAACAAAACAACAACCAAACGGTGTCAATAAGTCAGTTGCTCGTTCATACTTGTTTCAATGATGACTCATATGATCTTTTATTGTTTCCTAACATTTGTGAAATTAAAGAAAATTTAGAAACCAAATTAAATATACAATAAATATAAGTCACATTATTTAACTGTTACCTTGTCAAATACATTATTCTTCTTGGACAGGTCGTCTTTTATTTTCGCCTCAAATCCTTTGTGATTAATAATGACACTAATGATGCCATTAAAATCAGTATCTCCAGCGTTCGATACATCCTTGTATCCGTCTGGCGGGAGATAACATTTGGCAATTTCCCAAGCATTGCTGCACCATTTGGTTGCGTCCGTATTTTTATATGACGGACCATGATATCGATGTGCGCTTTGAATCTCAGATTTTAAATGATGACAAATTTTATTCGGGCAGCCAGATGGGCGATACTGTGTTGCAGCGTTTTTATGGTAACTGCATTTTCCGCGTTTTGCGTTGCAAATTCTGTTTGTTGGACAAACAATCAGACTTTCCGTACAGCAGTTTGAACATGTGCTTCCGGCTGGTAGGATGTTTGATGAGGAAATAGTATTTAGAGAGTTCTGCTGGAAATCTTTGACTTCATTAACAATAACTGGCTCTATTTCGTCTTTGGTGTAAACAATGGCTATTGCAGCCTTAATCCAATTAAGAAATTTTGATTTCGAAAATTGTGTCTGCACTGTTGGCACTGCTGTAGCCATCATATCATGTTTCTGATGAGCTAGGTCATCGTCTACCGTTCCTTAAATCAAAAATAAGAATTGTAAATGCAATTAATCTATATTATTTAGAAGGATTACAACAAGTTTAGATGATTTGCTCACATACTGTAGGAGATGGGTATTAACTGTTAACATTGACAAAACCAAAGTTATGTTGTTTTTTTTTTTTAGAAAACGTGGACCTTTTGCGTGAAAATGAAAATTAGTCTTACAATGACACAAATATTTAGCTGTTGTAAAAAACTTTAACTTTTTAGGTGTGGTGTTTGACTCAAATGGAAATTTTAACTCTAATACACAGTTGCTCGTCGGCAAGGTGCTTAAAGCTATGAATTGTTTAACAATTAATACTAAGGACTTTGATTTTACCCCAAAGACAATGTTGAGTTTATTTGATTCATTTGTTTCCTCCAATTTAAGTTTCACTTCTGCAGTTCGGGGATTTACTGAAAAAGACATTGAAATGATAAATTTTGCAAAAGAATTCTAAATGTAAAATAACGTCCAGTAGTGTATCTATAAATGAAGAATTAGGACGATATCCATTGTATGTAAACAGATGTGTTAAAATTGTCAAATATTTTCTGAAGATCAAAAATACTTAAGTATAATAAGTCAAATATATGAACTGTTATTAGAGGCTTTGTGTAAGAATAAGATTAACTGGGTTTCAAATCTAGAGACAATAGGGTTAAATTCTATATGATATGACTGTGTGTGTCCCTGCTACAGATTTATAAGAAAACGTTACATTGATAAAAAATATTATGAACGACCATCTATGCTTAAACTAACCCCGCTGTTCTCACAAGAGGGCCGTGATGGCTCTGAGTCGCTCAACAGAAACAACTGCTTTTCATTGTTGGAAATTATTTTTCAAATTAACTTGCTGAAAGGCAAGTCCAGCTCTTTCGTGCAAGTTCAGCTCAGCTTTAAATTGCCCCTCTAGTAATATTCTAATATTCTTTCACATCACTGATTGTTTTATGAGCAAACTTTATAAAAGACTATCTAAGAATGCTACAGACAAAGTTTATCAATTGTTTCAGTATAAAATGATCTTTAAAGGTTTTTCTATTTTTAGCTTTATAGACACCTTAAACAAGCCAATTAAATTAATATGAGCAAACTTGATAAAAGACTACCTTAGAATGCTACAGACAAAATTTGGTGACAATCCATCAATTAGTTCTGTAGAAGGAGACATTTAAAGGTATTTCTAATTTTAGCTTTATCGGCCAATCAAATTAGTATGAGTTAGCTTGATAAAAGACTACATAAGAATGTTACAGACAAAGTTTGGTGATCATACATCAATTAGTTCTGTAGAAGGAGACAATTGAAGGGATTTCTTTCTTAGCTTTAGCGGCCGCTTAAAGGGGCCAATCAAATTCATATGAGCAAACTTGATAAAAGAGTACCTAAGAATGCTACAGACAAAGTTTTGTAATCATCCATCAATTATATAAGTAGGAAATGAACCTCAAACATTTTTTTAAAAGTTTTTTCTATTTTTAGCTTTAGGCACCAAAAAGGGGCCAATCAATTTAATATGAGCAAATCCCGTACCAAAAGGAAAGGTTTGCCGTAAACTCGACGCAACTTTGCCGCAAATTCGCTGCAAACCTTTTAGTTCGCCGAAACACTGTGTCAAGTGTTTGCCAGATATCGCCACTAGTGGCAACTCTGTAGCAAACATTTGGCGACTTTGCGGCGAATTCACCAGAATATTAAGTTGTTCGCCAAAAGTTTGCCAGAAACTTTCAGTGGAAAACTAATTTGCCAGAGATTGCCAGAATCTTTCTATCAAAAAAAATATTCGCTGAAAGTTCACCAGAAACTTTTCTATAAAAACAAGTTTGCCAGATAATCGCCACAAACATATCAGTTCTGAAAGTTAATCAAACTTTGTTCAGTAAATAACTACTTTGCCAAGGAATTATATTATTATGCACATATAAAAAAAGTCCTTCATGTACCTACCTATAACCTACCTACCTACCTACCTACCTACCTACCCAACCCTATTTGAATGGGTCGGGAAGTGGAAACAAACATATTTTTTATTTTTTGCCTAAGAGTTATCAAATTGAAACATCATATGTATCATGGAGGGTATTGTAGTTCACAATAACAGTTAAAAAATTATAAGGTAGAAGACCCATAATGAAATCGGCAATCTTCGACAATTACCACCATATCTCGCCATTTATCGTAACGAACTTCGTTTGTTTACGTATAAAGTCGGAATTCTAATAATAGCGGATATCCCCGTCACGTGGTAGTATTCCCCAAGAAAATGACGTAATTTCCGTAGATATCTAACATGGCGTCTTACAGGCGTGATACGCTCGGTCGATTAAAAAAAATGTAAAAAGATGCAGAAAACCCAAGTATTCCGACTTAATTATAGAATATAACTATAGTGCAGGTAACCAGTATTACGGGTCAACCAAACCAGCTCTACAAAACATCAACTCTTCCTAAATCGGTTGATAATGAGGGTTGGAAAGAGGGAAGAAGAATCGTTGAGTTTGGCGTGTTACGGTCAAACCTAAGATTTTGTAAAAAATGTAGACTTGGACCTGTAGGCTACCATTAACTTTTGACAACATGTTAGGTAAATTTAAACAGGGTGTGTCTGGGTATTTGTATGTGAAGTGTCGAAACACAGAATGCAGTCATGTGAATTGTGTTCCCTGACCCTATGGAAAAACACATAGACTCTAGTAGATTGAAGACCTGGGAAAGTTGGAATGCCATGTTTCGTTGTCAACACAAAATTAGTAACAGGTAAGTGATTAATGTATTGCATCATACTTTAGATTAAGTACTATATACTGATTATGAATTCATAGATAGCAAAGGTAGAGACAGAGCGCATATTATTTACATCGTGTAGCACTGAATTTCTTCAGGAAAACATTGGACAACATTGGACGTGAATGAGAGCCTTAGCCCTTCTCTGTATAATTTGTCGCTGAATGTTGAGATAACCCCTAATCAATGTGTAAATCGGAATGAAACTATACCCTTCATGTGCCTAACTGTGTGCATTAATTAATTAATGTTTAAATGACAATAATCCTGTATTTCTGGATCAAAATGTCCAAAATATTTAGGTTTGTCTATATTTTCTCCATGGTATTATAAGAAAAATAACCGCTACCGTAATCGTTGATTATATAAAGAAATGTTGACCTGGATCATGCTATGTTACGTTGTCAGACTGAGGCGGAGCTACTTCTTTCAGTTAATAAATGCGCACTTCGTTCCAATTTTCATATAAAATAAAAGAATATTTGCACCTACGAAGTTTGAAGATAGTCCTTTCAAAACTATCAATGTAAAAGCAAAACAAGCACAATTAAGACATTTGACCTCTAAGTTCAATGTCATTTATGATTGTAGGTCAAGTTTAATCTTGTCCACTTGAAGGTCTTGTCCCAAAAAATTTTTTTGGTCAAGTATGAAGACAATACACTATTAACATAAAAGGTAATGATCAACGTTAAAGTTTGGGGGCGGCAACGGCAACGGGACCGCCGCAATGACTTAAAAAAAAATCTGGAATCAAAGTGATCCCTCGGAAGCATTAATCACAACAAAATTACAAGATAATTGCAGACTCGGTTTGATTGACTCTGTACATGAGGGAAAATGAATACGTGCAACATCCCTCACGCCCCCTAGCACCGGCCTGAGTGGTACTTAATTCTCAATACTCAATAGTGCTGGCATCAATGATCCTGAAGGACCTGAAAAATATAACAACACTGAAGTGAAGTACGGGGCAACTTTTTACACCTGGCACCTGCTGTTGTTAAGTATAGAAATCTAAAAACAAAGTGATCCCTCGGAAGCATTAATCACAACACAATGACAAGAGAACTGCAGACTCGATTTGATAGAGTCTGTACACGAGGGATAATGAATACGTGCAACATCCCTCACGCCCCCTAAAAGTCGAGTAAACAAGCAAACATTTACAAGCAATACATAAGTTCCTCACCGGTTAGAACCCCAGCAACAGTCTGAAGAGCATTTGCCATTCAATTATTGCACTGAATGAATGAATGACATGAAAGAACTAAAATCGTTTGTGTTCTTAGCTAGTTTGTCTGTATCATAGTTATGTGTTAAAGATTTCCTGTCTTATAGGGAAATTATGTTTAATACGACACATAATCAAAAGACTCATTTTTATGCATTAGAAATGTTTCAAATTTTTCTCTATTTTCAGGAGATTTGTTGAAATTATTTTAGGAACCGACTGACAGACAGAGGGCAAATATTTAAACATCACTTGTTGTAACCAGAAAATAACACTTTTAAAATCAAAATTCTTAAACTAAAGAGGAAACAAGAAAAGCATTGATGCAAAGCATCAAAGGGCGTCCAAGCAAGAAATGCAGCAAGTGAAGATGAACTAGTACACATATGATGACAAGATATTCTTATAAACTACCAGAAATGTATACCACTTATGAATGAGCGGACGAAAGACATTGTTCATTATGAACTTTGATTGGCATGCTAGAGATTAGAATATTACTTGTTATTTCTTTATGATCGTGGTTATTAATAGCAACGGATATACATGTATGCAATCATTTATAATCCATATGTGTAACGCATGATCAAACACGTACCACACATTTGTCCCTTATTATGTACATGTTATCGCTATTAGCGAAGACCCCCTTAAGGTATCTGTTCACACTTTAAGTTAGTAAAAATATGACACTGGTTATATTACCATGTTGATCATGTTGAGCATAATTGTTTATTATACAATAATTGTAATATCTATTAATTTTAATTTAAAAAAAAAAAAACAAATTTTATGAATATTGTTTTCTTTTATTCTTTTTTGTGTTTATGTGCTATTTTAATACTGAGTTTTTACTACTCCTTTTTATTAAAATTGTAAAATAAATTTTAAGAATTCAATTGTCATATTGACCGACGATTATAAGTCAAAGCTTAACTGGAAAAAGTCAGTAAATTATGGTTTATC